TATAAACCAACCCTATACCTTCAGGAAGTTTCCTGTTCTTCTGGTGCACCTCAGCAACTGGCATTCTGTGCCATGTTGTATCTGAAGATGGAAGTGAATTTGAGCATAACACTTCAGAGAAATTGCTACAGATCGGTGGCTTTCTTGGCCCAGTAAAAGGGAACAGAAATAAGGTCTTGTTTAGAGGCATGTAAAGAGTGAATAGGATTGTACAGAGAAATAAGGGCACCCAGGTACTGGGGAGGTTGTGACTTAAGTGCAACAAGTTTTAATTGAGTTCAAGTTTGAAAATTACAAGCCCTAATGGCATTCTTGACATTCTCTTGTTTGATAGTCATGTAACCCAACCCTGGAGTTTCACTTGAGCTACAGGTAGGTTAAAAAATAAATTAAAAGATAGGTAAATAAATCTCATTCCAACTGCAAACATGTGATTCCAGCTGGGTCAGCCTCTAAGATAACCCTGGTATAGTCCGGGGGATCTCCAGCTTTTTCCCTGTATGTCACTATCATGAGGACTACATTTTTAAAAACTTTTAATGGTATTACTAAGACTTTGGAATTCAGTGTTTATAGGTTTTTAAGAGCACTGATACCATAGTAGTAGTTGGTATGATTTCTATTAAAAAATACTTTATGTGAGGTTGCTGGAGTAATTCCAACAATTTATATGCTGGATATAGTATCAGTACTTAGGGTTGTTGTTTTTTTCCCAGGCAATCCTTCATTCCAGTATTGGAAGGAACTGGCTGAGGAGAGGAGGAAAGCCCTATATGAGGTGTTGCAAGAAAATGAAAAGGTAATGTTCATACAGTAGAAGTGCCAGAAGACATGCTTTGGAAATCTATCGCTATTTAAAATCTTTTTTTTTTTCCTCTAGTTGCATCAAGAAATCAAATTAAAAGATAGTGAAATTGCTCGTCTAAAAGAAGAAAATGAAGAACTGGCAGAACTAGCTGGCCATGTACATTATATGGCAAATATGATAGAGGTAAGCTGCTCAATTAATAAAACAAAATGTTGTCTGGAGTTTATGCCTTTTAGCAAGATGGGCATGAGAATTAAAAAGTAAATAAGTGATTAAGCTATGTGGGGTAGAGGGAACCATGGTCTTGAGCATCCTGCTACAAGTCCAGACAACATAGATTGTGCATGGGAGAAGATCTGATTTTTTGAACCCTGATCTTGATTTTTCTACTTTGACAACCTACAAACTCTGCCGGTCCTCAATTGTTAATCCTTGGCTCTTGGTGAAAATGTGTATTATATGAACACAATGGCACTCTATTATGGTTCATGTTTTAAAAGTAATTTGCCAACACCATGCTCACTTTTATTTAGAAATATAACTTGAGTTTGGCATTAATTCATATTGACAGTATAATGAGTCTGTTTTTGATCTGCTTATCACTATAGATGCCCTAGAGGTTAGTTGCCTTATATTTCAGTCTAGAGGCCTAATACAGATAGTCCTTGCATTATGACCACTCGTTCAGTGACCATTCAAAGTTATGATGGCAGTGAATGAGGGGGATTTACGACCAGTCTGCGAAGTTGTGGCTGTCTCAGTGCCCCTTTGGTCATGTGATCATGATCTGGTCACAATCTGGTCTCTGACATTCCCTGCCAGCTTCTCACAAGCAAAGTCAATGGGAAAGCCAGCAGGAGGTCACAAGTCACTCCTGCTCCCCCCTCCTTTTCACCTGCCCACGTTCCATAGTGCCTGTCTGCAGCACCGCCCCCTGGCAGCACTCACCTGCACTCTGTAACACCTGTCTATGGTGGCACCTGTGTGCCCGGCCTTGCTCTGCAGTGCCTGCCCGTGTACCAGCCCATGCTCCAGAGTGCCTGCCCATGCTCCAAAGTGCCACTATAGGTAGAATTTGAATTGTAAAGTCAAATTTACCAAGAATAGAAATAAAATATTATACAAGAGCAGCATTTCAGGCTGTGAATTTACCTCATCTAAATCTTGCCTCTATATTGTCACACTGCCATCTGCATAATTAGATCACTGCCATTTCACACAGTAAAGAGAATGCCTACAGTGCTTCAGAGATATGCCAAATGTTTTGGGCTTTAAACAGCCAATTGGGGTTTTGGAGTTTTGTCCTAAGCTCTCAATGGAGCATTTAATTCTATATTCTTTTGAGTCCTCAGACACACCATGGTTGGTTTAAAAAAAAATCTTTCAAGCCCTGGATATTTGTGGAGCGCATTAGCCATCAGTAATAATACAGATTCAATCACACAGCCACTGGTTGGAGCTAGTTTGGAGGGGGGAGAGTTTATGAACCATTTTGGACTGGCACCTTTTGGAGAGGCAAACACTGATCATAGATACTCATTGATTAATCAAGTATTCCTTGATCAAGCAGCACCCTCCCCATATCCCGTGCCATATACTTCTTGATGGTTTGTAACAAGTACAAGCATGTCACCATGTCAGGAAAAGGAGGCATTTATAGGCTTTGGGGTTATTATAGAACAGAATATTCAGAGTGTTTTAGTAAGCCAAAAGAAAATAAGTGGATCCATTTCTCCACATTTTGGTAGTCATTGCACAAGTTTAGCTGGCATTAACATGCTGCCCATGTATGCCAACCAGTGTCCCAAGAAAGAGGATGTATTCCAGGGCAAAGAGAACTGGAGCACAGGTTGGTCCTCAGGCCTAGCTGACACCATAGAACTTTCCCAATCTACCACTGAAGAGTGAGTAAAGCTCTTCACACCACTAGCAACTGTGCAAACAAACATGACTGAGGCACTGACTTGTCAAACAGGAGTCTAGCTCCAAGGCTAGATAATGCTACCTTAAAAGCAACTTGGAGAACTGAGGGAATGTTCCAAGCTCAGAACAAAACATTTTTACATCGTATGCACATGCCTCTATAATTTGCTTACGTCTACCATAACATCTTCAATCTTGGTCTTTTTAGATGTTTTAGATTAACTTTCATTAATTTTAGCCAGCATGGCAAGGGATTCTAGGAGTCGATCTAAAAAATCTGGTGGATGCTTCTGCCCTAATTGCATAAAATAGATTGTTCTGTAGGCTCAGAGTAGTACTGTTTAAGGTTATGCTGCACAAATGAAATTTTGTCCCTTTCTGACACTGTTGTTTCACTTATCTAGCAAATAACTGGACAAGCACCAGAAAACCTGGATATTTTGAAAAATTTAGATCTGGAAGAAATTGCATATGAAGAAAATGATTCTGCTGAGGAAGATTTAGATGGTGAATCTGAAGAGGACTTTTCAAAATTCTCCAATAGTTCTACAGAGAATGTTACAGATGTGCTTATAAATTGAAAAAGTAACCTCTGAAAGTATTGGGCTTCTAAAGGAGGGGGGGCAGAGGAGTCACGAAACCCTCTGAGAACTACAGATTTACCTAAGATTTGGAGGGTGGGATTGCACTACTAATGTGTAGCAGAGTGAGTAACAGTCTTGCCAGAAGTATTAGACTGTATCTAGTCACTTGCTTAATTGGAAATACTATGTATTTCAGCTTGTAAATAGTTTTTATTCATGTGCTGTGAGATCTGTCATTACCAAATAAACTTACCCACCCAATTATGACATTTTCAAAATGGAACTTACTTCTTGATCCACCATGTTACACAATCTAGTTTTATCTGGCATGTCCCTTTATCCTTGCCTAGAGGTTTCTTCCATTATAGACACAATTCCTAAATAGCTTTTTGAAATTAGTAATTTTTCCTCATTCTTAATTCTTCCCAAACCAGACACATCTTTGCCTCTTCCTTCCCAGGATATATTTGCAGGCTTATCTTGTCTCAAAAGGTAGTGTCTTACAAATGTAAAACACTTTTTCTAACAGCTTTATTAAATCCACAGTTTATCTCAATCCTGACCCTCTAATTAGCCCTGTGCATGGAATAGACAGTATTTGGAAGAAAACTACCAGTAACCTATATTTTGTTTCCAAATTTACTGTTAAGTCCTTATAAAATTGGTGCAATGTAAGAGAATGTATTTAATTCCACTGGGTTTTATTTAGCTGGATAGATTAATCATTTAACAGGGAAATGAATTACCCTGGCCACTTCACTTTGCATAAATGTTTAATCTGTACATATCAGCCTTTTGCTTTGCTTCTTCCCTCCCCTCCTTTTTGTAACTTGCTTTATAAAGATTTCAGGAAAATTTGAGAGCTTATTATTTTGTGCCATTTTGATTAGTTTTATTAAAGTTATTTTTCTGCTGTGGATCTCAGATTTTTTTTTTCCCTTACAAAAAAACTTTTAAAATATTTTTTGTTTATTTTGAAGCTTTGACTAAATGCGATTAGGAGGGATTGTTAGCCAAATTTCAGTTTGACTGACTGAGGTGATGGGGCTAAATTAATCTACAACCCTGTCACCTCAGTCAGTCAAACTGAAATTTGCATCTCCTTCACAAATTGTAAGGTTTCTTCCCAATCTAAGATGACCAGTTCTATGGTAATTATAAAATATTTAGTGTAGCCTAATGGGGTTCCTAATAGTTTTCCATTAATTCAATAATTTTAACAGTAGTAGTGCATGGGGTGTTAATGGACATAACAGCTTAATTATGTTTTGAAGGCTGTTAATTTCTCTTAAAACTATTTTCAGAAAGCATGTCTTCAGGTTGATAGCATGTATCAGTTAATATGAAAGCAGACATCTTCACCTAACCAACATTGGCTGAGCTCAAAAATAGCTAAGCAGGCTTCAATCTCAGTAGTTCTTAGATGGAAGACCACTAGGAGATCCCAGGGTCAGATGCTAGACTAGGAAGTCAAGCATCCAAGCAGCAGGCAATGGTGACCAGCTCGGTTTTTGAGTTTGACTTGGGGCATTTATCCTTTTATTTATTCAATGAAGTTGAATGAAACTTAGAATTATGTATCAGTTCAAACACTAAACGGCAAGTTTATTGTGTTAGGTATTTGAAGATAGGTAAGTAATACCCAGTGCTTGTCAGTAGCAGAATATTTGTTCTGGCATATTCCCTTAATTCTCTTTGCATGCTTCCATGCCTGGATATCCCATAAGCATGCACATTAATGTAGCATAGTTTTGGGGCCAGCCAAACCATTCCATATTAGACAGGCATTCCAGCCTTCTTTCTAGTGCTTGGCCACCAACTTCATGAAATAATTTAATATAAGATATATTATTACAGGAGACAACAGTCATAAGATAACAAACCCAGAACTTCACAAGAACTAAATCTGAGTCAGCTTCTGCAGAGTCTTCATCTTCCTCAAGATAGGCAAGGATAATTTCAGTAAGGTGGTAAGCTTTGGCTTCATTTTGGTTTAGGGGGTTGATGTAGCATACACTGCACAGTCCTTTTAAAACAGAGATCCTGACTTTTGCGGAAGTATCTGGCATAATCAAAATATCAATCATGTCCTGAAGATACTGTGAAGCAAGCGCTGCAGCACCAACACCACCTGTAAAGCAATCATAGTTCTTAAATCTTGACCCACTTTCTTAAGTATTAGTATCCTAAAATGCCCTATTCCATATAACAGATGCAGTCGATTTAATGCTATAATGTTAATAACTGTCACATGGATCTAGCTTGGTTCATCTATCATAGTTCCTTTGATACAGGCAAAACTTAATATTCACTGCTACCATGACCAGCTGCATCATTCAAACATTTCCAAATTTTCAGTAAACTAAACCAGTAATCTGGTTGCAAGAGGCAGATTCTCCCCCACCCCTGCCCCCACTCAGCTGACAGATGAATTTGTTCAAATGATTTGATTGCAGGTTATCGCTGTTGCCTGAAACAAGAAACAACCACCAAAATGGATTTCTGCTCCTCAGTTTAGCCCAGAGAAATCACTTCTGAGGCTGGTACAACAGCATAGGATCTGGTGGAAGGGGTCTGCAAAGGAGGCAGCAGCTGAAATTGGAAGTGTTACTGTCACAAGCAGGAGTGTCTGATACAAAAAAACCCCCATCTTTAATGGGTATATGAGTTTTTGTGGAGGGGATTGTATGCAATTACATTCTGGTAGTCTGCTCTTTTTTACTTTGCACAGCTCTTACATGAATTGGTTTCTCAAATAAAAAGCCTAGTTGAAGAAATGCATGAATTAGTCAAGTAGAAAAAAAAAATCCTGCTGAAAGAGAAAAGGATAAATAAACTGGAGGAAAGTGTTTTTTCTGCATTAAAAAAATATTATTTTGCATGTCTCCACTACATTGGATCATCTGACTTGGAGTGGAATAGGAAGGACATGCTTTAAAGTTTGTTAAGTTCTCTCTTGATTAAAAAGTAAGTGAGGTATGATGAAACCAAAATGATCAGTTAATTACTATCTTGCTTCTAAAGACCATTTTTATGGCGCAATTGGGAACATTAAGAGCAATGATGACTTTCAGGCCTTTTAACTATACAATAATTTTGAACCACAGTTCTTCCAAGTCCCAGCTAACAAAGGGTATAGGATTCTACAATAGCTGAAGGCTCCATAATATCTGTCTCGAGCTGAACTCTAGCTCTCATCAGTCCTGCTTCCTTAATACTATTTAGGGGCAATGGTATTACATACTATTTAGATAAAGTTTATTAATCCCAACATTTTGAATCTCTTATCCCAAACTCAGTTGACTCTTAACAGGCATACCTGTGTAAGCTAGCAGGCCAATATATAACGCAGACTTGGCTCTTTCCTCCAGTGACAGCTCTGTATTTCTTAGATCCATGCCATATATTTTAATTTTGTGGTGATGAAAGATCGGATCTACTAGCTTGATTACTGGTTCCCTTACTTGGTCAATATAGATGTTATACCAGGTCTTTAGTGTACTAAATACAATTCCCATGTTGCCTAAGAAGTATGTCTGTAACCCACGTCTCCTTTCATCAAATAGGGAATTGCTGGAAAATCAATATATTGATTCAGTTACTACAAAACTCACATAACTGATAGGTAACTAGGTAATGAATGCTGTAAACAGAATGTGAAATGGAAACAGCACAGGTTCTTAATGATGTCATGCTTAGGGTTATTCCTATCTGTTTTTCCACAGTTCACTTAAATCCTACTTTTAAAAAATATTTCTCTGTTGATTCTGAATCACCCTTTTAACTTTTCTCTGTATCAACTGAGACTAATTAAAATATCCCTTCCTCAGCACCACATTCCAATAAGCAGCAGAACAGCAAGTTCTTTCCCACCTTTGGAAAGTCTAGTATTTAAGAACACTTGCTAACTGAACTGTGCTCTAGAGTTAGCAAATATGGTGATTAAAACTACTTTTAAAAATGCAGACATTCTGCCAAAAGTGCTTCTGATAAGGCACTGAGAGAAGCTTTAAGGCAGAAGGAAAGAGCTCCCATCATTCCTGACCATGGTTGATACAACTGTTAATACTTCAACATCCATGAATATTTGCAGGATGAAGATGTCCAAATCCTGCTTTCAAAGCCTTATACACCGAGGCTGGGGAACTGTTAGCCCTTTGAGGTAGCCCAGACCCCAGCACAACCAGGAGTACTAGCTCTGTATTGTAAGGTTACATTAACAGAATCTTGCAAGACTGAAGTATTTCTCCCCTCCTTTCTTTTACTCTCTGGAAAACTAGGGAGGTCCCTTCTGAGATGTTTCCCACACCCTCCCTCCTTTTATGGGCTGAGATCTCTTTTGCACGCTGGTTGTCCAGTCTGCAGCTCTCCTTCCCATCACCCAAAGTCATTCCCACATTCCATTACAGGAACCGACCACCAATATAAGCAACAAAACCTTATCACAGTGTTATTTCGTATTTCAAAAATAATATTTATTATAACTTAAAGGGAGCAGTAAATACTGGAAGTAACAAATACCACAAAATTAGAAGGCATATATAAGTCAAGAATCAGTACAAAAGACGACCATAAAAGGTTGCAAGCTCATGTGAGCAATGTGCTGTAAAAACCTGAAGCATAACACTTTCACACGTTATGAGAAATGCTTTTTTCTCCAATAGACCTTTCAGTAACTGTACAAATGTAGTTTTAATCAAGTAATATTTATATGCAATTTATAAATATACAGATATATACAACATTATAACATTCACAAAAATACTGTCTTAACAATGCATTTCTAAAAAGGGCTTTATTAGATCATATTTCTAAACCAAACTTCAAAATCTACCTGATTCAGAGACTGATGATTTTTTTTTTCCTTGTAGCACCCCAACAGTAGCAGAGAAGCTAATTGCTTTTATAATTGTATAATCCATAGAAATAGTAGCAAGGACTTCGGTTAAACACTTTGGGGCTGCAATCCTATGCATTCTTATTTGAGAGTAAATCAGGATGAATTCAAGAGGATTTTCTTCAGAGTAAGTCTGCATCAGATTACGCTATAAACTACCTTGATTACTGTATGCTCTATAAGGGAGCCCAGAAGACATCTTTGTTGTCATCTGTCATATTGAAAAAATTAAATAAATCAAGCTCTTAACAAGTAACAAAACCTCACTCTTCCCTGAAAGTCTGGGAATTCAGGGCTTACCTGTAATTAAGTATACTCTATATAATCCTTTGTAGAAAAAAGAGCAAATTTAATTTTCTATTTGCTTTACACAACTCACACAATTGGTTATCAATAAAAAAAGTATTCTAGCATCAATGTGCATTTCTGAGTGAAGGGCAGGAAGAAAGGAAGAAAGGAAATTTAAAAATGGGGCACAAATCACACTGTCTGGAGTTTCACATCCTTTGGCCTAATTGAATATTGCTTATCCTAATCTAGATGACTACTACTAATAAAATCAGATGGGCAGATATTTGACAAATACAGAGGCTCAGAGTAGGTGGGAATCAGAATGGCTTTAAATGTCTGCTTTTCAATGTTTTCAACACATATTCCAAACTGGCACAATTATGCCCACCAAACAAGCACTGCTCTACATTAAACATGTCTTATGTAATAATTTCAAAACATCTCTCATTTTTCCAAGGCTTTACAACAATTACATGTATTTCACAAAAAAGCAAGATTATCATAATCTTCAACAAATCAATATTTCACTATAAGCTACACAGAAAAGCCAACAGCAGCCCATGCATTAAATTCTCTCTTTTTCTTTGAATGCTGATGAGTTCCTAAGTTTCAAAAGAAATTTCAAAAGAATGGGTTTTGTATTTCCAATTCACTTTCAGGACCATCTTGGTTAAGATGAGGTTGGCATGTCTTAAAATGCAAATGAAACACTTAAAAAGCTGTAGCCACTTCAGTTGCATGTCGACCACCAACTTTAACAAATTCACGGGGGAATTTGTCTAGCTGTTCATATGCCAGCCGTCCATCTTCTCCTGAGCAGCAACAAAACAAAACAGCAATAAATATTTCATCTTTTAGACCTGTGGCTCTGAACTGCAAACCACAATCTCACATTGTATGACATGGCAAGACTGGCTATAGTATTTGATGCTCCAAAGAACTCTGATTATGGACAGTGTCTCTTTTGAGATGACCTGCAGCTTGACGACTTAATGGAAGTGGCCCTACAGTTTTCTTGGCACAGTAATAGCAGTGTTTTGTCATGGACTTCTTCCAGGTTTTTCTTTTCATTTCCTAGTATAGACTACAGCTCTGGAATTTCCTGTAAGAAATCAGGAGAAGGAGAAGGAAGAGGAGAAGGAGGAGGAGCTCCTTACTTCTGTCCTCTTGCTTCCTGAGAATTCCAGTGACCCAGTAACCCAGTGAAAGGAGTACAGGTTCTTATACTTTGAGTCACATGAATACACCACCATTTCCATGCCAATTGGGGAAGATTAGAAATGGTAAATTTGGTACTACTACCTCATTTCTACTCTTTGTAGCTTTTCTATTAGCCCTTCTCATACTACTTTTTTGTCCTGTTCACCAGACTTCTTTTTCCATCTGGAGTAAAAAAAGACACCAGCAACAACATAAAGAACTCAACCTACCAAGAGAGAGCAAGGTTTCAGAGGCTGTATTCCTAACCTCTTCATTGTCAGACTGGCAAAGAGTGACCAGCATTTTAATGCTTTCAGTTGCCTGTAGAACAATAAAGAAATAAAGATGTAATTCAGTTCTTGTCTGACAGAAAATCTTGCTTTATAGTGATTAATTCGCATATCTACGTCTGGCTTTTTAAACCTGTATAAAAACATATCCATTTTCTCAAGCCATCTGGAAGTGCCTTGTTTCCTCCACAGCTCAGAAAGAGAACATTTCGCTCAGCCACAGGGGCTATGAGTACCCTTGCAGACAGCCTAAAACAGCCTACCAAGAAACTGCCTGGGTCTTCCAAGAGTGACTTTGCTTGCACGAGCATTCTTTACAAAGCAGTTTTTTCCAATGCTTTGCACATCCCTATTATTTAAACACTTTAAAATTAAAAGTATTTGCAATGCTAGGAGGAAGGTAGGTAGGTAGGTAGGTAGGTAGATAGACAGACAGACAGACAGACAGACATATATAGAGAGAAAGCGAGAAATTACCATATAGGAATGGTACACATTATTATTTATATACTTATTGCATTTTTATATACCATATTTCCAAATGACTTATGGTAATTTACACAACAGTTAACTACAACAATACACAATTTGTTAGTAGTGATGTTGCAGTCTTAATGCTGTCCTCACGGACATTATATCTTATACTATTATCTTTCTATGTCCCAGGACAGGTACACCCATTTCATGGGGGTGGAGGGGGCTTCTTGGCTAGAACTTCTGCTAAAGGGGATGGGGGAAAGGAGGAATTATTCTTTTTTCTATTTCACCTCTCCTGACCAAGGGAGTGCATTTTCTTCACATTATAACTTCTCCCAATTATAAACAGGTACTAATTTAAGCCCTGAAAACATTTCCAGGATGGAAAGGATGAGCTGTGGACAAGAGGATTTGTCACATTAGTAGCTGTATCAGAAATGTTTTTGTAATGAAAACATGAATGCATACACAGCAGAGGGGAAAAAACGCACCCAGCCAAGTAGCACCATCCCATCATCTTCTAATCATCAGATATACTTGAAGATCAAGTCACAGAGTAAAGTCTCTTTTCCAAATATATTGTTAGACTGTGTGCATCAAATCCCTCCCATTTTGGTAAAGTAATATCTGGACAGCTAATTCAAGAGAACAATGCTCTTGTTGTGTGTTCAAGAGGGGTTATTGAAGCTTCTGGTGTTTTTTTTTTTTTTTGGCTTGGCCTTTTGTAGTTCATGGGAAAGTCAAGAAGGCAGAAGTTTACCTGAAGGCATTTCAAGGCCAGGCAAGCAGCCTTCTGCAGATGGAGGCTGGGCTGGGCAAGGCTTTCACAGTAATAAATTAAAGCCTGGAAGAAAAAGAGAGGCCGTGAGACTGAGGAGCAATGTCCTTTCAGAACAAGAGCGAAAAAAACCCTTTTGCTTAGAAAATAAATTCACCAAATAAAAAATAAAGCAGCATTTGTCTCTTTGAAAGGACAGCTCCTGTTGCTTAGGTAGAATTTTTCCACATTTAAACAGCAACCAGTTACCACAAAATAAAAGTTTTTACTTCCTGCCACCACCATTCTTGTGTAGGATGCAATCAGAAATGTGTAAAATGTTCTATGAATGAAGCATCCTATGTATGGAAAAGCTGCTTTGGAGTCATGCCCAAACCACAACATATGTTTGGGTATTTTGGTCCATGCATGATCTAAAATGGGGCTATTCCAGTCAAAAGTAGTTTATGGAGGTTGAGAAGCAGAGAAAAAGCCAAGTTGGCAACTGGGGGAAAGGCAAGGCTGGCGTGCACTGTTGTCTCTCTCCCCTCAGCTGCTTCCAGCATGGCATACCCCAGTGGACCACTCATCCCCGCCAGTATGCTCAGGGCATTCTCTCCCTCCCTATAGTTGCTACCAATATCCCAGCAAGCATAGCCCACCAGCTTGCCCATCCCCACAATCTTCCTATCTCCTCTCCGTCTTGCATAGCTACAGGAGAGTGCTGGCCAGTTCTGCAATGTATTCTCCATTTACTTCAGGCAACGTGGCCTGCATCTCACAGATGCTGAAAGCAAAAAACAAAGAGTGGGCAGGGATGACACTGATAAAAGATTTCTGGCTATTCCATCAACTAGGAAGCCCCAGAGAGAACCAGATCTAAAAATACGCTTTCTTCTACTGAAAGATCTACCACCTCCCTGGAGCAATGACATCTAGCAATTAGATCTTATTTTTGTTGGTATTCACCTTCAATTTATTACCTCTCATCTAGCCCAATCCCAGTTGCACATAGGCATCCAGGGAAGCTCCATTATTGTCTCAAGATGTTATACAGAAATCCATTTGGGTGTCATTAGCATATTGGTAGTACCCAGCTCCAAATACTCAGCAGTTTCATGTAGTTACTGAAAACCAGAATAGTGCCATGAGAGACACCAAATAATAATATAACAATGGCTCTTTTGCCTCTTTGCCTCCCAATGGCACCATCTGAACTCTATCTGAGAATCAGAAATGCAATCTGTGCAAAGCATGTTATATAAACCCAGTAAATTGTGATTTGTTCAATAAACCTTGTTCACACTATGATTTAGCATGATGCTTAAACACAGCTAAAATCTGGTAACTCTACTTTTGTCTATTTGGTTTTCTGTAACACTTACCTTTTCCCTGAAGTGCTTGTTTTCTGCTGCGGCAGCTGACAATATTGTTATCACAGCTTCACAGGTCTCCCTTTTATTTTCAGTCAGAAGGACAGCCAAAGATTTCAGCACTTCTTGTTGAGGTGAGAGACTGATGGAAGTTAAACTGGCCTTGTTCTGCAAGAACTTTTCATCTCTTAAGGATTGTAGAGTTTGTACTATTAAAGCTAAAACACAAATTGTCCCTTTTTTAGAAGAAGTTAACAGATTAGACTAACAGATGCCTTTGAAATAGCTTTTACATGCAACAACAGTAACCGTGAAATGTAGAATACAGTAATTTCAAATATATGAGAATGAGGATGAGTTCAAATGCCAATGAAGTCTAGAATTTTGTCCCTACAGAGATCAACCAGATGCTTTGAGAAGCCCACAGGAGATAAACACCACAGCACCCTCTTCTTCACTGTTGGTTATTGAAAGAGTTGCTGTCTCCAGTCTAAGAATGATTCCATGGTCATGATGGCTGTAACCATTACTAGCCCTGTCCTCCCTGGAATTTATTTCCTATCACCAGCTGTTATTAGGAAAATCTGACCTCATTCATAAGAGAGAGAAACTCTAGCTTGTTGGTAAAACCTGTTCAGTTTCTAGGCCCTAGGCAGTGAATTATGCTGTGAAAAGTCCATAAAGTACACATAAAAATCCAGAGAAAATCAGCAATCCTTAATCAAAAATAGAATCCATTACATAAATGCAAATAATCTGCAATCTTATACTTGCTTACCTTGGATAAGTCTCATTGAACTTTACAGGGCTGACTCTAAATAGACAGGTATTAGGTTGCACAGTCAAATTAAAAATCTTATGACATTTAAAAAAACTACTGCTTCTCTAATCATTGGCCGGGACATTGAAAGGTTACATTGCTGTCTTGCTTCCTATTGATCAACTGCCAGAACACTGACTGCATTCTTTTCTCTGCTTAGTAAAGTAAAGACAACCTTGAGTCAGGTTCATCTCCCAAGGATTACATGGGCATACCCATACAGTTTTCTTGGCAACAATACAGAAGTGGTGGCCATTAACATAGGGCTACCATACCTGGGTTGAAAATAGCCAAACAATTAAACGGCAG